ATAAAGCACGTTTTTATGTTGTAATACGTAGGGACAAAATCGCAGAAAAATAATTCGCGCAGATTTAACTTAAAAAGCTCCTTCTTAAGAAAGCAGCTTTTCGTGATAGACAAGGGTCTGTAGTATTTGTTAAGATCATCCTTCACAAGTCGACAAATATGCGTGACGTCATGTGTAATCAGCTCGTTCCGACGCACCGTCATAATTTTATCACGATGTTTTTGCATGTCTATCCGGTGCGTGCGCGTGACGTCAATAGAGTGATACCTTTGACGTTTTGTAAAAATCGTATTCATAAACGATTCAATATCGAAGAAGAAATAATTATGTAATATTTCAAAAAAATTCTTAGTTATTTTTCTTATCGATGTAAAAAAGTAATGTGCCAATAATGTACCAACAAGGTCTACTTTTGTTTCAAAGTGAATGCAACATCCTGTCGAAATTATTTATCTGTGTTATCGAACTCGAATGCCATAAATATTTTGTCATAATTTTTTTCTATAAATACTTTTTACAATACGTGCTAATTTAACATAGTCTCATAGACCGGCAAAAAGCATGATGCATTTTTTTTTGTTCATAGACATCTCGTCTGAACAACCGTGACACCAAACGAATACATCTTTGCAAGTGAAACAAAAATTTGAATACGGTAGTAATTTAAATAAAATATAATCCGACTTGTATAAAGTGTTATACATTTTCAAAATGCATCACGTACTCGCTCAATTATACAGATTGAATAATAATATTTATCAACTCGTAATAAATTTTTTTTATCTACTCCCGCAAGAGAGAGCACTAAGCTAAGATACATTAAGCTGAATCACGAATTGCTAGAGAATTGCATACTAAATTTATGGACCGTATCTGAAATATGAGAATAGAAATACCCGTTATGTCTGTTCTTCGTATGCAATCAAAGGTTACGACGTTGAATGCCGTGAGGCATTCCCAACGTTTCAGCATAAAATTTCTTACGTTACGCTTGAATATATTATATTATACAAGATACAGCTTAAAAGCATGGGATATAAATCATTTATTCAAACGATGAATCATAATTCAGAAATATAAAATTCGCCCGACGAGGAAAAAAATTCGCCATCCGATAAATATCGAATAAATAATAAAAAAATTTTTTTCAAAGCTTTTCCGAAAGTTTGACGACGAAGCGCTGTTTTATTTAGATAAAACGTCAACCGTCAGTTTTCTCGCCAATCAGAACAACGACGCAGAAATATGAGAGGATTCCGATTTAGTGGAGCGAGCATCTGTTTATGCGCGAGCAAACTAGTTTCGCAAAGATGATGTAACATATTGCATTCGCATGATTCGATCGTTCCCTCGTAAACCGCGTCGCGATCGCGATTGCTTTTCAGAACAAAGCCGCGTGACGTCAGACAAGGGGGAGGACATTACATAGAGACGCGCGCGCAAAAAAAAAGAAAGAAAACCTGTATCACAAAAGAAACGTCACAGCGCTCTCTTTATATTCGCCGTAGCTCACGTTCGCCGCTCAAGTTAACAGCTGACTGGTCCCACAATCGGACTCTCTCGAGTCGCGAAGAGCGAATTTTACCTTGTCCCGTTAACGCGTCGACCGAATCTCTTCGGTGCATTCCTCGATTCGGGTCACGGCTTCGTGTATACGCGGCGAATTTCTTGCTGACATTCTTAGATCACACGTCGTTATTACGGAACGCCCAAATTCCTTACGAGGCTTTGAATATGCACGACGAGACGAACTTTCACGCAAAATCGGATTACAGGTGTTACTTTGTGAAGAAACATCCGGTTTTTATACCGACATCCGGAGTATTTTCGGGTTACCTGACCTATCTACGTTTTCAAAAGTATTATAATTATCTGGCGGTCTTCTTTTGTCATCATCTGTGCGTCACTAATCGCAATTCTCTGTGCGGTGCGAACGAACGTTAAAGCATGCAGGAATTTAACGGTCGTCTTTGTATTTACTCATAAATAAAGACATTCGCGACATGCCAAAAGCTAATAGTATTTTCGCAAGCGAATATTAATTAATGGCCCGTGAAAGTGATGTCATATTGAAATGGACGGTGACAAACTGAATAATCGAGTGTTCGCTTTCTATTATATACTCGCGATAAAGCATTAATAAAAAAAAGTTCTCAATCTTCTCTCATAGAAATATGCTTTATTGCGGCACGGAAGTTCGCGAGAGAGTTCTTTTCCACGGTCCGCTACGAGTATATAGTTTTATCCGTCGAGCTCGAGTTTACAGTTATCATTGTTTGAATGGAATGCGGCATTCTCTCTCCTCTTTCCTGTTTCGCGACACAGCTGTCGTAGGACCGCAGTATCGAGGGTCCACGAATCCGGAAAGTGTCCTCGACTGATACTCGACGTGTACAATTGATTCGATGTTAATTACGCGCACACATTCCTTCGTCGCATTAATCTAGCGCGGATTATGACCATAAGAGGTGGGAAGGCATACCCAGCCACTCGTGCGTTGTCTAGTTTCGCAGGTGTTCCAATAAGATTCCTGTTAGGTAAACACAATCAACCGTCCTTTTGAAATTTCTAAAGAGGAGAAAAATGCGGAATATGTTTTTGAAGAATAAACAGTTAGTGTGTGTACACGTGTCGTAATTTGAAGGACAATTTAATTGTGTCACTTAATCGGAAAGTGGAGCAAAATACATCAGTATTATATGTTTATTTAAGAGATAAGAAAATTATCTCTTATAAATTACTCTAATATTAGTATTTAAAAATTATTTTACAGGAAGGAAACCTTGTGTGGTATTATATTCAAAACTTTAAATATAACATATATACACAGCTTGATATAAATACTCTAGCACTAGATACTGAATCATTTGAACTGAATTTGCAATTATTATTGCAAAATTTACAAAGGCTATATCGAGTCTATTTGTAAAATGTGGATCAGACGAAACGGTAATAAAGTATAATTAGTAATTATGTGGATGGGACAAAAAGATGATAAAGTATAATTATTCGTAACCGAGGTATGACGATAACGGGAATATTAGGTTGATAATGGCGAAAGGTAATAATGCCAAATATCCGGTCAAACAAGTTATATAGACTAACTCTCTCAATCATGCGCCGTTTACTTGCGATCATCGTAAACTCTATGACTCTTCGTCGTTAAATTCAGTAATTTAATCACATGGCGTGTGTGTGTATCTACCGAAGCTTTCATTAATGTAGAAAAAAGTCAGAAAGTAGTTAAGAAATTAAATTAACCATCTCGATTATCTATTTGATATGTTTCTTATATAGCTGTTGTTCGACTTTATTGTACGTAAAAGTCAACAGTTAACGTTAAATGCCATCTTCTACCGGTATTAAATGTCATTCTCATATTGTAAATAAAATTAAGGCGACAACGCGTAGAATTAAATGCGCAATATTGTAAATATATAGGTCCATTTCAAGTCTTCTATTTAATTTAATATCTCCGTTGAAAACTAATTACTTTCACTATACTCTCGCTTAATAAAAAGTACTTAAGTTTAAGTTTAAGTAACAAATTGTTTTCTTCGAAGAAGATTTGTTAAAATTTTGTTTCCAAAATGTTCCAATAACGCGACTAACTTCTAATTCGACAACCGGATACGAGACATTTTTAGTCGCCGACGTTCGAAATGCGGACTCGATGCAACAGAATGATTTGCGGTAGATATCTAGGCTTCACTACGGTAGCTCCGAATTTAATTTCGAGCGTATTTTATATTATTGCCCAAGTAAATCCCAAGCTTGCCCAAGCGAGGCGATTTTGTCGTTGCGACACGCTCGGTATAGCGAAACACTTCACCGTCTTCGAGTAATCCGTCGTGCCGCGCTTTAGGGGGAGTACAGCTCACTTGTGAAATGAAGCAAAATGCACTTTCACCCGGCATTGCGTTTCGCAATCTCCTCCCGTCGGCATCTCGGACCGTCTCTGTTCGTCGTCGAACGAAAGCAGATTCCGTCGCACCTCCGTTGTCGGCTTCCTAATTATTGCGCGACAATCGCGAATTGAGTTTCGCCGGCTCGTTAGGCCTCTATCCGTCCGCTTGCGCGAAGCTCGACACTTTCGACTTCACCATTACGCTATGTATGTACGGATCGAGCCGCGTTTTATGCATCCCATACTCTTTGTACGCAAGACGCGCACTCTCGCTATACGCATATGTTTGTTACATCTTATATATTGCTGCGGAGAGAAACCATTAAAATCCTTTTACACGGGAATGAACGGGTATATAAGTATTAACTCTTTGCGCTCCGGTTGGGTTAGCTCTCTTTAAAAGTTTTCAGGATTTTAGTAATTTAATTTCTACTCGTTACGATGAAGAGAAAAAATTAATTAATGAAGCTATAATGAAAGTATATCAAAGTAAATATTTTTCAAAAATATAAATATAAATATATATGTATTTTTTAATACATTTAATATATATTATAAACACTTGCACAACACACATGCATGCATACATACATGCATGTATATTTCTTCTTCTTTCTCTCTTTCTCTCTCTTTTTTTTTATATGAACGAATTTAATATATTATAATTATTTGCACGACACATATACACATATAATATATACACACATACATAGATACATACATGTATATGTATATATATTTTTTTCTTTCCCTCTTTCTTTCTTTCTTTTCTTTTTTTATAAATAATTTATGACATCACGAACACACACAAACCAACGGTAAAACCAATATGATTTCGATGAGTTCGGGGATTTCATGCTGATAAAAATGATCCTTAAATCTATTTATGATAACGAAAACGTGTCAATTAACACACCTAAGATACATTTTACCCATGACTCATGGAAATCTACGTCAGTTTCGATCTCTGATTCTAAACGTTGACGCAGCGCCGTCGAGGTTTGTGGTTTTTCGCTGTCCGAATTCTCCGTGGTCGAACGGATGACGTTACCAGATTTTCATATCGTTAACACTTTATACACATATTTTTCAGAAACTTAATCGCAAGAAATTCATACAACGCTACACGGATATGAGTTATGTGAAGTGGCCGAGAAAGAGACAGAAGTTTAAACAAAGAGTGAAGGTAAGGTCGTCGACTCGCGCGACGACGATTTATTTATTTATTTTTTTTTCTTTTTTTCTTCTTCTCGAGAGAAGATATAGACATCATTGTCGCGCGCGCACGCGATATCGCGGGAAATGAGCGGGCGGACGGAGGAGAGAAAGAAATTGGAAAGTGGCCGGTGAAAGTGTTCAGACAAGGCACGTGGCTTGCAGCATCAGCGAGCATGGCGGCTCACACGAGCCGGACTTCCTTCACCTACTACACCTCCTCGTGTCGTTCTACCTTCACCTGTCACCGTGTTTCCTATACTCGCGCCGGGACATCAATCCACGCCGGGAGACGACCTTTGTACTTTTTCTCTGTCCCCTGACCTTTGAGTCCGGCCGTGCAGGTGAGAGGGTTCAACTGGAAAAACGGCTCGGAAGCTCTCAATGGCGAGCTGCTCCCTTTCCCTCCTTCTGTCTCTCGGTATGGGGAAAGGTTTTTATTTCATTCTGGTTTCCTATTTCCCTTTTCTGCTGAATATTTCGCGCACGGAGGCATCAACTCGATTGTGCGATTTTATAGAGATATAGTACGCAGTGGGAAAATAATGCGCTGTCATTAATATTGTAACAACGATATGAGAGGAGATAAGAGGGAAAGAGTAAAGATCGTAGTTGCGATACGCGCGCTTTACAGATACAAGCGTAAACATTGGCGAGAACGTTAAATGAATATCCCCGCAAGAGCGGAATATGATTACAAAAGAAATTTTTTTTTTTTTTTTTACTTTATTTGTTTCAATACGCTCCGGATCTTGTGCCATCAAACGGTATGAAACTCAGCATTCGTGAGATTCGAAACGCGAAGGTCGCCGGGCAAAGGACCGTCATCGCCTCCTACGATTTCACGTAACGCGAACATCGCGAAAGCCAGATAAGCCGAATATCGAATAACGCTTGACAGCTGCATATATTTTAACAGCTGATGACTGTTGAAAACGCATCAGCGTCGAGAACACGAGTTCTCCGAAACGGACAAGCGTGACTCTCGTCATCGGGCCAGCAGCGTCTATAATTCACTCGCTTTTGTTTTTATTAAATTATGATTAAAGCTCTCTCGCGGATGGACCGCGTGAATGAATATGCGTGACGCGTGTTTCATTACTACCGTATTTACATGGGCGAATTCATTCGCGCGTGATTCCTAGCTCGTTCCGCCGGAGGTTCACGCTATAATGACGTCTCTCTCTCTCTCTCTCTCTCTTCCCTCATCTCATATCACACCGAGATTAATTAAATTTTCGCCCTTGTTCCTAGCCGCGATACACTCAATGTATATTTTGGACGCACATTTACGCGGGAGAACGCATTACGCTCATTTCGTGCTACCAAACGGAATTTTCTCGCTATCGGGATATTCGCGATCTCATTTATCGGCAAGTACCGTTAATTAATTTATTCGATAATCCACTTGTGCGTGCAACCGCATTCGCGTTAAGCTACTTGAATTTGTATACGAACGCGCGCCGGCTCTATCGTCGCGAAAGTGAACGGCGAAGTGAAGCGCGAGACTAATGGCGATTAATTAATCGCGAGGCAAAATTTGATCGCGCAAAATTAGTATGTGTCACATACGGCGTGATGGATATTTCGACGCAGGAATTAAAGCCGTCGGGGAATCCCCGCGTGTACTCGGTTCGAAGAAGCAATTAAGTAATGGAGTTATACGGCGGGGATATATGTGGTAGCGAACATATTATTACATTTGCCGCATAAATCATCTGTCATAAATACGCACGTATATTATGTATTTCATAGATGCAAATTGGGTAAGGATCTATTAAAATTGACATTTTCACTCTCCATCGACAAAGAAGCGATCACTTTCATTATAAAATGTTACATCACGAATAAAGAATAAAAATAAGTTACTAGTAACAGTGCACCCTCGTAAATAGCCACGTGTGCACACGTGAAAACAAGATTAATAAAGTATATAGGAAAAAGACGATATAATATATATATATATATAGATATATATTATGTATATACGTGAAAAAGTTTGCAAGTATATAAGCACCTATATAATTTTCCATGACACAAGTATTACGAATATAAAACTTATCGTTCAGGTGTATGCGGACAATTTTTCCGAACAAGTTTATGCGACATAAATTATGCAGAATTAAGCGGATTAAAAAAAAAACACGGTATAGATATAGATAATTCCCTTTTCGGATATTTATTCGAGAGATGTTTTAAATAGAAAAAAATTTCTCGCAAAAAAATAATAAATTAAAAAATAAAATATACCTAATATTTTTTTCCGGTGCACTATATTGTTTATCGTGTTTTTCACAAATTCGTGTTAAAGTAGCGTAACTTTTTTATATTTTTCCTCGCGTTCGGAGATGAACTCTGTCACGCATGTCATCCCGCGTTGATGTCAACGAAATCGATGGAATTTGCAAAAACGTCATTGGGTCAATTAGCGTATATCGTGCATCAAACAATATTTCGCGGCTTTCCACTCTTACAGCAATCGGAGCTGCGAAGCTGGGTGCGAGATTCTTGCCCGAAGCTATCGAGAGGGGCCGTCCGTTTCCATTGGAATCCCGACACGGGATTCTCCGAGGAAACGCCATTACTATCGACAACCAACGATGGCATAGATATCCTCGCACAAGTTATCGAACACGTCAATCCTCTCTTTCTCTTATTCATATACAACCGCTTTGTACTAAATATCAATACTTGGAATAATGATCATTATAATAATACTAACAATACTTAATTAGTATTATTATTCTAATTATTATTATTGTTAGCATGAGTCTTGAAGAAAAATATAAAAAAGAAACAGAATATTATAATGTATTTTTTCAGATTTATAATAATTAATAACAAGCAATAGTTATATCTATGTATAATCTTCTCATCCATACCGATTTGAATAGTATATGTTAGTTTGACAGTCATTAAATATATATATATCAGCGAGATACGCGGTGCATTACAATCCCAAAGTAGTCACCGATATCTTTTGAGCAAACACTCCGCTCGAAAAATCCTGAAGTATATCGATTTGGAGGAGCGTCAGGCTAACATACGGCGGTCCGCGAGATAATCGTGATAAAATCGCGCGTGTATCATCGTCGTCTATGTACGCGGGCGGGGACACGATAATGCGAATATAATGATGACGTTGCCGCGGGTTAACAGCCTGTGTCTCGTCGCGCCGGTTTCGTTTCGTGATCGTTTGTATATATACGTATATCGCACGCATATACGCACGCGGTAATGTCGAAATATAACAACACGACACGGAACTGTCCCGTGCGTTCTTTCGAAGGTGGGTACTAAAACGTGACTTGTACGTGACGGATCCAGCTTTTATAGCGACATTCTTTAATGTTTTCGCGAGGCTTTAATTGTCGCGAGATTATTTGCGGATGATCGTAACTGATACGAAAAAAGTTTGAAGAAAATGAAATAAATTCATAATCTCTCTACGTATGATTTAAACATATGGCTTTGTATTTGACTCATTTATGCATTTGTCGATTTTAAACAAATTACTTCCCGTGTTTTAAATTCCCTTTAAATATGTTTTTTTTTTTTTAAATAATGTAAAACATGATGTGACATTTTATCTGCTGATTTATAAACACACAAATCTAATTTTCTTACTTAATAAAATATATTTCAACAAATATTCTATTGTGTATATATGTATGTGTATAGGAAGAGCAGATTGATATCGATATGAAATCCTGTACCTCTTCGATATTGGAAATACGTTTTATTGCTCGAGAGAGATTGTGGTACACATACATATAATATAATATTAATTGAATGTTATTTAATTCAATGATATAAATTGACATTGTTCGCGTAATAATCGTCAATATGTCTCTTTGCAACCATTCTTCGTATAAGAAAGTTTTCGTTAAACATATGTCGTTATATAAAGCAATTGCAAAATCAAACATAAACTGTTAGCTGCAGTACATAATTACAAGATAATTAATTAATTAAAAACGAAGTTAATTAATTTATATAAACAGAAGTATCGAGTCATAAATAGACTTCAATGTACTTATTGAAAGAACAAATTATTAATCGAGAATGAAATCGACATGAAAATGTTTACCGTTCAACATCGATAATTATATAAAAATAGATTTAAGTGAATTACTATTTATTACGTTTTGTATAAATGTTATTTTTAGCAAAGTCTAACTTTACAGTGCAAATTTTCGTCGTTGAATAATGAGTCCAATATGCGAAAGTCCTGTTAAGCGTTTCATTTGACACCTCGCTCCAGTTTGCGAACATTCTATATATTATACACACGCGTAAGATCCGCGAAGAAAGGCGCGGCAACGAGCAACGGTTCTGCTTCCTCATAAACACCCGAAACCGGAACTCGCAATAACCACCATACCGTGCATACCAGGCGCATCGTGTTCAGCAAAATTACCAAAAGCTGTCACGCTGCATTTCTTCTGTCTCTTTCTTTTTTTTTATTTTATTTTTTTCGGGAGAGAGGCGGTTCTTTCACGAACGCGTATGTGTATACGATTTATATATATAGACATAACGTTCTCATACGTGACTTTACGACATTATTACGTACTCGTCGTATCCGTTCTACAGTTATCATATGATGATTTACATCGCGTAACCGATAATTCGAAGAAAAAAAATATATATTTCGCAACACACGAATGTTACACAAAATGTCGAGACGTGATGAAAGAGGATAATCGCGAAAACGGGATATAGTTGGACTCTGCAGTTCCGATAATATGTCCATAGGAATCGTGTCCGGAGGTAATTGTAAGGGGAAGTGTATAATTGTTCGCAATTAAGTCTCTCTCTCTCTCTCTCTCGCCGGTCGCCGAGGGAAAGTCGCCGGCTCGCGTCAGGATAGGTTCAAAATTTTGCACTTTCTCCGATGTTGCGCGAATACTTGAGCGTGATTACGCGAGTACGTACGGAATGCCTTTGGAAATTCAATTTCGAACTTTCAACGTGCGCGGTCGAAACGTTTCATAGGCGGATGAACAGCTTTTGGCTCGAACATTCCAAGCGAAGTTGAAAGGATGTTATATGCGCGTTCATTAGCGTTTGATATAGATAGAACATAAGCTCTACGTAGCCGGTATAAAAGCTATACGTGCGTCGACGATTTCTCACGTTGCACGAGAATCGCTTAGAGAAGTCTTACGGTTTTTTATCGCGATCTTTTATTTGTACAGCGAACTCTTTGTTCCATTGAAGGCTGTGCGAAAACTTTATCAAAAGTGATTTGCTAATTAGGCTGTGAAATTTCATTTAGCGAATAAGTATGCATAGATATGAGAAAGAGAGAGAAAGTCTATATACATGTGTGTATGTAATATATTATATATTATATTAAATGTAAGATGTAATATCTTTTTAATAAGTACAAAAATGTACGGTAAGATTTTAGTATTAGATATTAGATGTATAAGATTTTCTTATTATATTACTTTCACGTATATTAATTTCTGCAAAGTTTCAAGCAACACGCAAGTTAGAAATCCATTACTCGGACCCCGGAATGTTATACGCGTCAGAGAATGCATGAGAATTTCTACAAAACATTGAAAACAAGAACAATCGTATCTGATTTGTAAATTGGTATCTCTTTTTGTTACAGGGTACTATGAGCCTAACCAAACGCATAGACGAGATCAGGTTGCTCGAATCACGTAAGAGTGCCCGACTCGCTGATCAAGACACGGATTTTGCCAGACTCGCCGATATGGCTGGTGATCGTAAGCGGGCGTCCTCCCACTCCATCGACGTGCCACACGTGATGGCGTAAGTTTCCTCTTTTCCCTATTACTCTTATCTGAGATACTTTTATGCCGGACCGGTAGATAAAATCTCGTACGTAATAACAGCCACCGATTGATAATAAACTCGCAAGCCGAATCATCTTTTTGAATGTCATTTAGAAGCAAAATACGTTTTAAGGAATTGATGCGGTTTCACTCTACGACGATTATGCAAATTTCTGCACACCTCTTCGGTGAATTCGAAAATTATTCAACCGTTTCGTGTTACATTTCGAATTTTGTCTCGTGTGGATCTCTTTGCCTCTTCTCGTTTGCATCGTATAATATGTGATATAATATTATAATATCGCATATAACTTGAAACGTTTTTTGCTTCAAAATAATAAATATGTTCGGAAAAAATACTGAAAAATTAAGAAATTATTTTCTCGTCGAATTGATAAAAAAAACTCTGGTACGTCTATTTTTTTTATGTAGTTCAATAATAATTAATTATTATCGAATATAAATTTCTTAGATGAAAATGCTGCTCTTATCTCAGTCCTTTCCAAATCCTACGCACATATGGCCCTGAATTCACAATCTACATGGAAATATATTCCCGATATCGCATTATATAACATGCATTCTTTAAAACTATCCTTGCTTATAGTAAAAATTCGAAACGACGTAAGTACTACGATTATTCTGTATATGTATCTAGTTTCGCGCGTTAATTAATTTTGATTCGATTCGATGAATCATTGATAATATAAAGTAATACAAAAAATAATTGATAGTAATATATAAATTATAATAAAAAAATTAATGAAATTCCTGCTTAATGAAAGTCAAAATATTTGAGACAATGGAAAATGTATAATTAAAAGCGGAATTATTATTCATAGACGATTTTTTTCCGTGCAATAAAATTGAAAGCGAATTCTTTGCCAGGCGGCTCTTGTCGCCAGATGCCTATATACAGGTATATCCTGGCAACCCCACGTAGGTCATTACCAGATGTGACACGCCAACAAGACCTACGCTATGTGAGATTATTAGAGCACCATTTTTTCCCGTCATGCTTGTTTTTTCTTTGTATATATAATTCTAACAGATTGACACAAGTACAACTTTTTCCTTTTACGCATATATTCAATACAAGTACAGCCGTTTGTATAAAAAAATCGACCTTATTCGAGGCTAAAAAGAAAAAGCTATGAGTATCCGCATATTGTGTATATAAAGCAAGAACGAAGGGAGAGAGCCCATTCGCGGATCGTTAGACCGTGAATGCACCCTCGCTAGGCACCTGTCTCTCACCTTTATCTCGCACGCAATTCCCTAGAATGCCTTGCCTCTGTTGAATGTCAGTGAATATTCGCTATATCGGAATATCGCGGCAAGGAAATAGTCAATCGTTCGGCGGATGTCTTGAAGAAAATTTCGAGATGCAACAGCGCAGTCTGTTCGTGATTGCAATTTCCTTTTCGTATTTCAATCATACATATATGATTGTCTAGGTTATTATCAATACCGTGGATTTAAATCAACAACATATAGGTAGTAACACTGTAATTTGATGACACATCTCTCTCGTACTTTTATATTCATCAATGAGTGATTCAATGAATGAATAGCAGTTTTACGTTACAATAATACACACCTATATATATATATATATATATATTTATAACATTTTATTGTCGGGTTAATTGTTTTATTTAAATAGTATTTAAACGTCGCAACCGACACTGCAGGCTTTATAAAACGATTTCGATTCGAAAACAATAAAAATGTATTCAGCTTGTTTCTATGCGGCGAAAGCTTTATAGTCTGCGAGCTGTCTGGAGCCTACGACCTGCGAGCCCCGTCATTCCAGGAGAGACGAAATTCTGTCTCTTTATCTCGCTTCCTCTTTAGCGTCGTTTCGTCTCAAAAAGGATAGAGCGGTCGTAGCCCGGCCAGACGAATCGGAGGTTAATGACCGCTCGTCGACTTTTCGTTTAGTATAAGTGAGGTCGGTTCTCGACCTCCTCGAGGATCCTCTTTCACAAAGGATACTGGAGAATAGATACAAAATCCCGGCGGGGAATGTCGCGACGATATTTATAAACAGGTAGAAAAATAATAGTGCTTTTGGTCGAACGTGCGCGCACCTGGCCCTAACACGACCTGCCCCACGTGAAAGGAAAGGTCACCAAAGAGAAATCGAATGCCTTTCGAAGCCCGATGATATCGGCGACGAGAGCGTGCGTACATACACCCGGGCTACCGTTTAGCAAGACCTTGTATCGTGTCCAAGGTTTTAAAGCTGTTGGAATTAATCGGCCGATTGTTTAACAGATCGAAACGCGATTGAAAAAAATCTATCTTACGACCCGATGACACGGAAATTGTTTAAATATTCAGGAATGTGCAGAAAGAAAGTATATATGCACATTATGTTTTTATTCCATTCGTTAGAATTCTTATATCTAGAAGCTGCTCGATTTTACACCTATATTAAATAAATCGAAACGGTTGAAATAATCTTTCTACCGATCCGTAATGATATGTAAATTACATTTGAATATCTTGTGAAAATGTGTACAAGTACAGTATTTCAAGCTCTAACTTATTCATGTATACGCAAAGTAAATAATGCAAGAAACTAAAATTTTAAAATTGAGCAGCTTCTATGTATGAAAGAAATATCATAGACCTATAATATCATGTGTATATATTCTTAAATCATGTTGAATATCGCATCGCTTTATCGGAAGAAATAACAAACTAGAATTCTTTTATATAAAAGAAGCTCGATTTTAAATAACAATTCTGAATAACGGTAGGAAAATTCTGTTCGCGTAAAGTAACTCGCACGAAGGTATTTCCCTGTTATGTCGTATATACGAGGCACCGTTTATTCTTTCTGCCTTTCGCACGCAACCGTGCACGCCAGATGGTGCAACGTGAATACGTGCGCGTGCGGGTTTGCGATAATTGATGCTGGCAAATTGAGCAACCTAGCACTCCTCCCCCTCCCTCTTTCGTGACGTAATTCCGTGCACTTTCCGCGCAATTTTTTGCAATTTTTTTATTTTTCATCCTCCTTCCATCGCGATTATATTTGTCTCTAAACTATTAACGAGAACAATCAGCTTCGAAACACGAACGGAGGAAAATAGCCGACCTATAATACAGCACAAACTCGGTTTCTATGTGCGCGATTTTACCGGTATACATTTTCATCATCCAATGCGCTGCTTTGTGCGTGCATGCACATTTTATTCGCTCGACGAAAAAATAAAATGCCGAGTACGGAGACCGCGAGATTGGCAGAGAGAGAGAGAGAGAGAAGAGCCGCGGGCGCGAAAGACGCGAATAGATACGAAAAGGGAGGGTCGGATAGGGAAGAGAAGAGAGTGGGAAGTGGATAATCCAAAATATAACTCCGAATCTTCCCCATCGCGCGCGCCACGTCAACGGGCGCAGTGAGTCAGTAGGTTAGCTTACATAATTTCGAACCGGCGGTCTCCGCGCGCGCCGGCGAGGAGGCGGCCGACTTGCTTTAAGAGAATTAGGTCGATCAATACCACGGCCGCGCTATATAGGTCAGGTGCACTACCACGCTCTGCGTATGCGAGAGAGTCCCCCTTCTTCCCGACACCTAGCAACCCTCCAGCGCGTGCCACCCATCCCAACCCGGTCACGAGCCACCCACCGGCACCGGGACAAAACCCACCACTCCCGCTTTCAACTCAAAACTCGGCCATTCCCTACTTTCGTTCTCTCGTATCCCGCTCCAGTTACTTGCCCGCGTCGCGTTAACGCGTTAATTGACTCTAATCAATGCGGGGACTTGGCGTTTGAGCTTGTATCTGCGAGAGTTCGAATTGGGTGGTCGTTATCTCTGTCACTAATGATGCGGAATTTGCCTGGAATGCGTGGAATTCTCCCTCTTTCCTCTCTCTCTTTCTCTCATGAAATAGCGAGGAATGCGGAAGGGAAGAAATTTAATGAATTAGGGCACTTGTCGAAAATTGATCGTAAATAATATATAGTATGTAGTGAGATAATCAATATTTTTGCAAATATTTATTAGTCTTAAATCTCTACTTGAATAAATATATTTTTTCATGAATATTCCAGATATATATATATATGTACATTATGTTACAATATATTGAACTTGTCTATTTTAACGTTGAAAACATTTTCAAAGAGGGACATGAAGTGCACGGTCGTGTATGGCTTCGTATGTTGTATACCTCGTGCTAAGTCGAGTTAAGTTATTTGCTCCATGACCCACAATAATCATCAAGGTGTCGAGATCCGGATCGAGGAAGCGAAGCGAGGAAGGTTTCGCGCGCGCTATTCCTATCTATACACGAACGGTAAACTCGCTCTAACCCGACCTTTCTATCCACAAAACGCACTAAATTTTCGTTCCCGTTTACGAAGACCTGACCTAGACCAAGCGTACTCCTCGAGCCGCATCATACATATTTGTTCGTACCAAGGTGCGTATACGCGAGGCTAGAAACATTACAGAATTATCCGTAGCATGGTCTATAATCTAAACACACACGTACACATCGTCAAGGTCTTTCACGCGACAAAATATGCCAGCTACCAGTGCGCGATCTTGACCTACACAGCATAGCGACACGCAGATGTCATTTCAGTCGTGTGAAAAGAGCGCGGCCTCATACGAAGCAGAGAGATAAATGCAGATTATGCGAACGAATTACGTAAACTATGTACGTATGTTATCAGAAAAAATCTCGAAATTCGAAATCGCACCGCGCGTGACGGCTATGGGTGGCCGAACCGGTACACACACACACAAATCATCATGGACACGTGTAAGCGGCATAGTGTAGTACCGGTCACACTTAATATCGGCATGTTACACGCGTTTCTACGCCGCTCCATCATTCATTATTCATCGTTTTGCTACCGCGATGACGTCACGCATCGACCGGTGCGCTGTTTCCGATTTGCCGAAAAAATGGATGAATATATACCTAATAAAATCGCGTCGATGTACCGTCTCTG